AATTAGTAAGATGTGTTTATATAGAAAAAGGAAGAGACTTTTGGTTTTGGACACATCTATGGACAAACAGACTTATCTCTTGTCCAAGTACTTTATTAACTACAAGGACAGTGATTAGTACAGATTTCGGTTTAATACACTGCATAACACACCACACAACACACTTATTAAAAAATCACTATTTCTTAGTTTAGAATTAAAGGCAAACAAGTTTAAAGTTACAATCATGCGCATAGGATATAGAAACCAGCTGAATAAACTATTATATTTATATTATATTTTTAATAGTTAAACCGAAAGTGCGTTAGAAAATGTGTTAGAAAATGTGTTGAACTGAGGGTCTACAAATTATTTTCCTAACTACAAACGTCTATTGTCAACAAATTTGTTTGTCTCTTCGCCAATCAATTTGTTAATTGCTAACTTCCCTCTAATTTGAAAAGTTCCAAAATAATTAACAAATATCAATTATTTTTTTTATTTATCTTCCAAACCAAAGTCTCCTATATGATTTATCCCTAATGTGGGACAAGTTAGGGGGGTATGGTGGACTTGGAGATTTAGTGGCTGTTTAGCAAAAAATTTATGCTGTGAACAGTATACATAAATAGTAAAAAAGATTAAGAATATAGTTTAGAAGAGGAAAAAAAATAGAAAATAACAAAAAAAAAAAGGAAAAATTTGAGGAATCGCATCTAAATTTCTCCAGACATCACACCTAAGAAGAATAAACCCTTAACATCACATCTATGACTAGTTGCTTCACACAACTAATATTGCATAGCATAATCTCAAAAGAAAGCTTTTATTGCAAATTTTGAATATTTTCTTACTCAATAATGAAAGAAGCTACATGCTTATTTATATTAGGATTAATGTCACTAAAAATTCTCTAATTTTGCAAAGACAGTCATCATCATCTTTCTACTTTAAAAGAAGTCATAAATATCCTTGAATTTTGAAGAAAGAGCCCAGCATCTTCCCTCTTTTTACCAACATTATAACACCGTCAATTCAATCGGTAAAATCCTTCGAATTTTAATGGTAAAATGACAAAATTGGTCCCTTACTTTTTAGTTCTTATGCAGTTTGATCCCAAACTTCAATTTATTTAATTTGGTCCCTAATTTTAACTTTTTATTGCAATTTAGTCCTAAACTTTTGAAAAATTTTCACTTAATTCCCCAAATTTCTAATTGCATGCATTCCAATCCATTTTAGAGAAATAATAAAAATCATTTAAAATCCAATAAAATCACTTTCAATTCATGCAAAATATTAATAAAATTAAGCTTTAAAACTAAATTGAAATATATAAAATTCATTTGTTCAAAGTGAAAAATCACATCTTTAATGCCCAATTTGATATCTTTAAAAATAAAGAAATAACATGTAGCTATTTGCATATACATACTCACATAAAAAAAAAA